TTTATTTCTAATTAAAGTCTTGCTATGTATGCCAACCGGGCCCGTGGCCCAATTGGTTGGCCCCCAAACTTTAGGGTATGGGTGAGGCGGAAGTCAGGGCTTCGAGCTCTGCCACCGCCGTGAACTCCACCAACTTGCGACCTAATGGTCGCGCGCCTCAAATGAGGGGGTGGAAGATTCACTTTCTTGAAAAAATTTCAGCTGCTAACAAACTAACTTTACTAATTTCCTAACCATCTATCTGATAAAAAAAAAAAAAAAAAGTCTTGCTATGTATAAATTTTAGTTTACTTTTTTATTGATTTTAATATGTTGATTCGTGGACATGTACTGCAATTTGATTTTATAATATATATATATCTATTAAAAAAATGGTAAAAACTGTTCTTTAAAACCGCTCCATCCATGGGAGTACTCTCTTAGGGCATGTTTGAAGTACAAGATCCGATAGGATGGAATTGGATTATGATACTAGGATTGGATTTGATTAAATAAGATGAGATATATTTAATATTATTTTTAGTTGATTATTGAAATAAAAAAAAGATTGGGTAAAAATATTAATTTTTATAAATAAAAATATAGTTATTTTTTTATTTTCATTAATTATTGGAATAAAATCTTATATTTTTTAATGAAATATTAAATCACACCTCTAACTTTGAGATTGAATGACATTAGCAATTTTATATTTAAGGTAAAATAAATTAACTCAAACTTAACTAATCACGTTAACATACGTTATGGTTCCGTCTCTTCGATTCCCTCCCCATCAACATTCCATCTCTTCCATTTTATCCCATTGACTTCATGCTAACTTGACAAGCATGGGTTCATTCTTGCAATCACTTTACATGTTAGATGAAACCAACGGCAAAGGCCCCGCTCTTTCCTTTTTTAATTGAACATATAGTTAATAATAACATTATAAATATATTAAATTAAAATTTAAGTGACTAACGCATTGCCATAGCTCCGTAAATTGCATGTGGATAAGAATCCTAATTCATTCCCTATATATATATATATATATATCCCTCGTTCTTGTTATCTATCTCTATATATTTTTCATTATAGTCAGTTTTCCACCATATATCATCCTGTGCGCGCAAAATAATGGAAGACGCCATAGTTCTGTACCCCTCAGCCGGAATGGGTCACTTGATTTCCATGGTCGAGCTAGCAAAGTTAATACTCAAACATTACTCTTTATTCTCCATCAAAGTTCTCGTATGCGCATCTCCATCCATCTCCCCAGATGCCACTACGAAATACATCGCCTCCGTATCCACCACCACCCCTTCCGTCGTCTTCCACCATCTCCCCACCGCACCGCTTCCTCCCGATTCGTCTCTGAAGGTGGAGCAACTCGCATATGAACTTTCATGCCTAAACAATCCCAATCTCCGCCATGCCCTTAGGACCATTTTGGAGACATCTCAAATCAAGGCCTTCATCTTAGACTTCTTTAACGATGTCGCCTTTGATGTCACCGATGAGCTCAAAATCCCCACTTACTATTTCTACACCTCTTCTGCTAGTAGCCTTACTGTCTTCCTTTACTTCCCCACCCTTCATCGAAGTACCAAAGAAGATTTCAAAGATATTAAAAAATTACCTGAAATTCCTGGATGGTCATCCTTCCCAGCCTCAAATATGCCAGAAGTTCTACATGTGCGCAACAGTTACATCTACAGAAGACTCTTAGAAAGTGCGGAGAAGTTTACCAAAAGCAAGGGAATCCTCGTAAACACCTTTGAGTCATTAGAGAAAAGGGCCGTCAGTTCTCTTGTTGAGGGACTATGCGTTCCAGATGGTCACACTCCTCCAATTTACTGCGTTGGGCCTTTGATTTCCACAAATGAAATTACCGAACATGAGTGTTTGAGTTGGTTAAGCACTCAACCGAGTAAAAGTGTTGTGTTTCTCTGTTTTGGAAGCATGGGGATGCTCTCTGCTAAGCAGCTGATGGAGATGGCAATTGGGTTGGAGAATAGCGGACATGGATTTCTGTGGGTGGTGAGGAATCCACCAGCTGATAACACGAAACAATCTGTTTCGGGAGTCGCAGAGGAACCAAATTTGGACGAATTATTGCCACAAGGTTTCTTAGACAGAACAAGAGATAGAGGCATGGTGGTGATGTCATGGGCGCCACAGGTGGCGGTGCTGAATCATGACTCGGTGGGTGGGTTTGTGACTCACTGCGGCTGGAACTCAATTCTTGAAGCCATATGTGCCGGGGTGCCGATGCTAGCATGGCCTCTGTATGCAGAGCAAAAGATGAACAAAGCATCTTTAGTGGAAGAAGCGAAGGTGGCCTTGCCGCTGGACGAGTTGGAAGATGGATTGGTGAGCGCGGGGGAGCTGGAGAAGCGAGTTAGAGAATTGATGGAATCTGATACCGGAAAACAAGTGCGGGAAAGGATTCTAACTTTCAGAAATGAGGTCGGACCAAGTATGGAGAAGGACGGTTCATCTGTCACCGCTTTGGCCAAGTTTATTGATCAGATACAAGTTTCATCGGTGGCTTAAATTGGAAATTTAATGAAGTAATTGGAGATACTTATAGGATAATTTATTTCTGAACTCTGCACTCCCTCGGTTTGCGAATAGGTAAGGCGATTTGAAGGTTTTTTTTTTTAAATATTTCTAATTTTTTATTATGTTTTATTTGTTGTTTCTTCTCTTTCCGTATGGTATTAATATTTTATTTTTTAATTTTATCTTTTAATATAAAATAATAAATAAAGATTTATTTATAAGTAAATTTTATATATTATATTTATATAAAATATTAATTATTTATTATTTATTTTTTGTTGTTTC